ATATCCAATTTAAATATATAATAACTTGTAAATGTAACAAGGTTAAAAATGTAACTTAAATAAAAAGGTTCAGATGGGGTTTATATATATATATATATATTTACTGTTAGCCTTACTATCTGCTCACATTTAAACTTTTAGTACTATAATATTTCTACAAAATGGAGAAAAGTTAAGGGTTGAATAATTGATTATTGAAATAATTTGAAAGTACAGAAAAAAAAGGCACAAATCGAAGCTCCAATACTTGCTCGCTAAAGCACTTGAGCTCATGCTCAAATTCACGAGCAAGTTCAAGATCACTCAAATACTCATGAGTTTGAGTATGAGCCCAATTATTTTGAGCTTGATAAATAGTTAAATTCGAACACGAGTACCTAAGTACTCAACTAGACATATTAATAACTCTTTCCAGAAAGTTAGTTACATAGCAATATAAAGATTTGAATTTCTACCCAAGGGGTATTTGAATTTCTACTATAAAGAGTGATTCAATGGTTAAAAATTTGAGATTTTAAGTTAAAAGTTTTTAATTTGAACATTAAGTCAGGTAAGAAGGGATTTAAGGAAAGGAAATGGTTATCTCTTCTTATATAATCCATTATTATCAAATGAATTAAGAAAAAAAGAAAGGTTTAAATCTTTTACCTTTACTCTAAATTAAAATTTTAAATTAATACGTATCAAATAAAGCCTTAACTAATACTCAACTTGAAAATTTACCTCAATGAGTAGACTTATTCAAGATTCGAGTAAAACAAGTTAGGTAATTTTTAGTAAAAAAATATAAATAATTTTTTAGAAAAGTACATATTAATTTTGACTCTTATAAAAAAATTAGAGTCTCAACTTTAAAAGCATTACCCTCTAATTAATATTTTTAAAAATTAATTGTTAAATTTAATATTTCATTGATATAGATTATGCATGTCTATTAATTTTTAAATCAATTTAACATCTATAATTATTCGATTAAGAAACTTGTATATTTTGTAATATATTTAATGTTGGTAATTTTTTGTAATAATTAATGAGATAGTTATATATATTTAGTCAATATAAAAATTAATGTACACAATTTACACGAATAGAACATTAAATATAATAATTGGTTTTTAAATATATTTATTAAATAGTGATATTTTTAAAGTTAGGACTCTAATTATTTTTTAAAATCAAAATTAATATATATTATCCTCATAGTTATCAATAATAAAATTTTTTAAATATCCGCTATCCAAACTGAAGATACCTAAAAATCCCGGTTTGAGTTATAACTTGAACCAAAAGGTCCAAAACCAATGTGTAGCCCTAGGAATGAGGGGTTACTGAAGCGACCCAAGCAACACCCTCAAAAATTCAAATCCAAGATGTTAATGGTAGTTGATCAAAATAAGTATATACCAATAACCCTTATCCTTCTATTTTAACATGAGATTTGGAGTATTACAATTAAGAAAATAAAAATGTTATTTTTCATTGTTTTTTAAAATAATACTAACTAATACACATTCTAATTCAATACAATACATAATACATTTATTAAAAATTGTTATTTTTTATTTGAAATTAAAAGTAGATAAACTTAAAAATACATTCATACATACAAAACATAGGAACTGATTAAATCAGTTGTATTTATATTATAGTTTAATAATTAAATTGAGATAAGTGTCAAAAAATGAGTTAAGCTAACTATATACCAATCATTTTTTTAAGGAATAATTTCAAGATCAAATTAAGCACATTATAAACATGCTTCCTTTTAATGTATTTCATTATTAGCCACAAAAATTACTAAAATTACCCAACAAACATAGTTTTTTTTATTTACTATCAGAGTGTTCTCAAATTAGTTTTTATGCATTTTGAGATTAACCCCTTATAGAGTAATCTTAAGGACACATCCCACAAATAGACTTAATTTATTTAAGAAAATTAATTTTTCTATTGGTATTAACCATAAAACTTAAACTTTAACCTTGACCTATATATAAAACAATACTTGCTTACTAATATTACAATGCTAATAGTATATTTGGATTATAAAGGGG